TATAATATTACATGTTATTTTTATATTTGATATGTTTGATATTTGATATAAATTATATTTGATATATTTGATATTTGACATATATTATATAAAATTTAGAAAATTATTTATTAATATATGACATATATTAAAACATATAATTAGAGAAGCATTTACAAGACTAATATTTAAAGTATTATATAAAATCAGGTTCCAGAGTGTTGACATAAAAATAAATAATAGTTATCTTGGCCTGTTGAATTGAAAAAAAAAAAAAAAAATAAACTTAATCACATAAGAAAAATAAATCCTGTTGAATTTATTAGCTTTCTTATCCTGTTTATAGACAAATTTAATTTACTCTCTTCTACACTTGTTAATCAAAAATATATAGTATGTATATTATAAATCAAAGATAATGTCTTCATATTATTGCACTAAATTACATATTAAATAAATCAAAATAAAACCTCATATCAATCCTTTTTTTTAACAAAATTGTATAATTGTGTTGATATATTTAATTAAATGTTAATAAAGAATCACACAATTATTGTATAAGATAATAAAGATTGATTTTAATTCATAACATTCGTTATCAAGCAGATATAATTATTGTAACGTTAACAATGCCTGAAATTACTCGGAAAAATCATATTACACGACAAGATACTTCATATGATTTAATAATCATAAATTTCATCCATAAATACGGCACTTATATTGTGCTTGAGCATCGATGCGTTAACTCCAATACCTCATTTCAGCAATCTTGCTGAACTTCAATTAATTTCTAAGGTAATTACTTAAAAAAAACATTTCTTTTTTTTTTATATGAGAACAATTTAATCGTTTTATTAACGTATAGATCGTATCTTTTTAATTCATACCAATTATGAAATTAATTCAAAAATACAATCTCACACAATTGTCTCATTCAAATCTAAAAGGGGGGGTTAAAGAAAGAAAGAAAGAAATTATTGATGTTTAGAAAAAAAAAAAAAATGTTTATAAAGTAAACGAAATATCTTTATAAAATCAAAAACCGGATATGGCTTTAAGGGTTACTTATGTAACTAGTAATTATCAACAACGTGAACTATCGATAAACATTTACACTCGTGGAAGCTCATGACTCGACAAACAACGTTGGTCAGTATGGTCGATTTCGAACTCGGTTAACTCATATTATTACGAAACCATGTTCGTACACTCCTTATAGAAATAAACTGTAAATTCTTGCTAAACAAATTAATTAATTACCAGATAAATTAGATTTATCTATATAATTATAAACAATTATTATATAAACAATGTATTAAAAAGTGTATTAATTCTCTTATGTTTAACGATGATAATGTGTTTCTATTATTTTTTTAATTGTACCAAAAAAAAATTCTTGTAAAATTATATATAATACTATATTAAAAATATAGTATTTAATTATAAAATATTAAANATATATATATATATATATATATATATATATATATATATATCCTTCTCTTTATTTGTACATGTATCAATAAATCTTAAAGTGATTGTTTTCTTTGTTCTCATGGATGTTTCGAATAGGTCACATTTTTTTTTTCTTATATCATTTTTATATTTCTACAATTTTATTCACACATATTTTGTATTATCGTAAACAATATCTTATCGACAAGAAATATTACAATAGTATTATTAGTGAACATCTTAAAAGCATTTATCTTTGAATATTTTTCATTAATGAGTAATAGTGATCGTTTTCCTCAATACTATCCTTTTCAAATGTCATTATGAAGAATAATATAAATACAGAAAAATACATGCATACATGATACCATGAACACAAATATGAATTCTATATATTGATATAATGCTTTATACTTTGAATTATAATGTTTGATTATTTGTCTAACGTCAAGATATCAAATACATTTTCTTGTACATTTACATTTCACATTTACACACATTTACTCGCTGTTTTTTTACGACTTTATTTTTAAATAACTATAAAATTTTTTATTGATTTTTTTTTTATTTTTTTTTTTTAAATACGCAACGCAAAAAAAGAAAACCTTCCGATTTTTATTTATTTCATTAAATTCAATCAGATATTTTAGAGTTGTTATTTTTATAATAATTGGAAAACTATAGAAGACACGTGTTAATGTATTTGTATTTAAATGACTTTGAAATTGTATGCATGAAAAGGAAAAGTACAATATTGTTTGATCACTGAATGATAAAAAGAACAAAACAATACACCTGTGATGTTAGTAATAGTTGACTTTCAAGAAATTCGTGACTATAATATAACTTTAATAGCTATTTAACAAAAGGAAAAAAAAAAAAATAATAATTTATTTGTTTATTCGTTAAAATGAAAATATTGATTACTTTTGTTGAATGTTAAAATGTACGTCAAATATAGTGATTAATTGTGAATACGAATAGGTATAATTAAGTTTTATCGCACAGGTGTATCAATCATTATTTGTATGGGTGATATGGTAATAATATAAATAAAGATTTTGATAATTATCATAAAATTATATAAAGTCGATGTTTCCTTAACTAAATTGATTGATTTTTATTTGAGATTAACGTAGCTACTTGCACATTGTGCATTTTTATTTGTTATATACTGAAATAAAAATATATTTTTAATAAATCTTTTTGATTAAGAAACGTTACATACGAAATTATACGAAAACACACACTAATTTTTTATAAATAAATATTTGAAAAATATCACGATTTTGTATTAATTTTTTTGTTTTCTTTTTTTTTTGTTTATATTTGGTTTTATCTTTTTATTTATTTATTAGTCACTTGCAGTTGTAACATAATGATTCATATTGTGTGAGTTTAAAAGGACTCGAGTAGATTCAAAATTTCGAGAAAAAAAAAATTGATTTTTAGTTTTCTTTTTTTTTTTTTTTGGCGAATTCTTTAGAATAAATTTATGTTTGACTTTTTGAAAAATTCACATAACTGTGGTCAGATATAAAATCATAACGTGTGTTGCACGTGTATAAAATTTTACGTTGGGTTGGTTTTGTAAGGTCTTGCGGTTTAATGTCCTACCATGTTTTTTTTTTTTTTTTACTTATAAGCAGTACGATAAAAAAAAAAAGTATTATCCAGTCTTCAAACAGTTTCGACAGAAATTTTACGAAAGTATGACAATTTGAATATAAATATAGTATCGACACTTTGAACGTGATTTTCACGAAAACTATATAATACATTCTGCCAATTTTAATTAAATTATTTCAATAACAAATGAAAATAAAAATGTAGAATTTATATAAGAATTATAAAACAATATAATGTATTAAATAATTACTTGAAATCAAGAGTTAAATAAAATATTTTATAATAAACAAAAAACTTTCTAATATCTTACACTAAAATGTTACTTTGTTCATTTTATTTCAATTATCAATTTTTTTTCTATTTTTTTTTTTTTTTTAGATATAACCAAAAGAAAAAATTCAAGTTTTAAATTTATTCTGGAAATATCCTAAAACTTTTATTTATCCCATTGGAATTGTGGTAAAACCGGATTTTATATATTATACTTATTCTGTATCGTTAAACTGGAATGCTCATGTTACTGACCCGAGAATAAGTTTCAATGGATTTTTTTTTTTTTTATTTTATATTATTATATTTATTTAATTTAACAAGATAAAAATATTCGAATTTATCTGCAAAATTAAGTTTAGAAATTACGAATTTTTCTAATTTCTTTAAATTCAAATCTAGAATGTAAGTGATTGGTAAATCAACGAGGTGTATCCTTGACATCAAAAAGATTTCAAAACCGATTTTGTGTGTCATAACTATAATCATCATGCACCATTACCATAAACATCACAAATTTTGTTAATCATCATCTGCTTTGAGTTTTTCCCTTTTATTGAAAGAAAAAATTCAAAATGTTTCTTCATTTTTAGATTTAATTCATTTTTAAGAGCCAATAATTTTTCACTAAGTTAATAAACAATTATCCACATAAGTTTTCGTTTGTATATCATTTTTTAAACGCACACAAATATTGTCAGATCACATTAATATTATCAGAATTATATGATACTTTAAAATCAGTTATAGGAAGAATATAGAAACTCGAAACGTAAATAAACGTTCTTTTCAACCCAATATATTACAAAAAAAATATTTATATATATATATACATATAGTTAAATAGTTTGAACATACGTCTAATGTGAAATTTATAGCAATTCGATCTATTATTAAATATTATATATCTACGAAGATTTGATATTTCTCATTATCAAATCACATTAACATCAATCAACTTTCTTGACAAATGAATCGTATACAATTCTGTAAACGTAAAAAGAAAAAAAAGTAATTATTAAAATGACATTCTGCCTATCTGATACTAAGATCACAACAAATTAAAATATATAAGATTCTCTATATTTTCATTTAAAGATTATACTAAAACAATAGAAGTGAATCTCGGTCAAATATATCATTAAAATAATAATTTACAAGTTTTAAGAGATTGTTTAGTTTATAAATCTATCTAAAACCCGACCGAGTTGTTATACAAAATTTGCGAAAAATGTGGATTGATATATTGATACAATGGTAGACTTTTTGATAAAACAGTTTCCGGAATGATTCTCATAATACGAATATTAATCTCTTGAGAGGATGCTCTACGATTGAAAAATTTATGAAATCTACTGGACATGATCCAGATTCTTCCATCGTCACGTTCGACCCATCTCATTTCAGCGACAAATTGCAATTTTTCTGGATTGTATACAACGATTCTAAAAGAACAACATTATTTTTGTTAGTATGAAATATTAAACGAATAGAATGTAACATTATTTTCATGTAAAATGTTGTTATAAATCTACCTTTGATTATTTGTTAGAGGTTGCCAACTGGCAATAGCAGTTTCCGTTAGTGGTGAGAAGAGAATCGAGTCGTCTAGAGGATCCACAACTAACGGAATACCTTGACTAGACTTTTTACCTATCAAGGACACTGGAAGTTGTTGTCCGAAGGGGAGTGGACCAGCTTGAAGTGCCGACGTGGGTACACCGAAGAGACGATCAGTGGCGAGTGGTTGATAATACAACATACCTTGCCTTGAAGATAAAGCTAATCCCACAATACCATCTGGAAGTTCGAAGGTCTCATCGACAATCTATTAAGATAAAATTATCAATGAAAACATGATTTTTATATCATCTATCTATAGAACATTTATTTTTTTTTTGCATGTAAATAACCTGATAAATAGTATAATCTGGATTAGGAAACATCGAAGCATGAAGTACTCGCCAACTTGTATTATTTGCACCATCAAAAATTTGAAGTCCTAAAATAATATAATTAAGAATTAATATGGGGATTGTTATTTTATTCATATTGTTAAAATGAACAATGATAATTTCAACCTGGTCCAGCTGTGTCACTTATATAGATAAATACATCATCGCAAGATGTTGATTTAGTATCGTCGATAATAAGATTAGTCAATAAACTATTTGGCCTTAAAACCTGCAAATAGTATACGACTAATTACATTTACTGTTCAATCAGTTTTAAAATAATGATTATTTAGACGTTTTAAATAAAATCTAATTAAACTTGACTTTTACTTCGATTTGTTTCATTAAAATGAAAGATTTTGAAACCAACCTCACGTGGAAAAACGTATTGTCTGACGAGTGTATCTGTATGAAGATCAAAGACAAGTAATTTAGGTGGACAAACTGGTGTAAAATTATCGATAGATGTCATAACACCACTATCAATGACCCATAATCTATTACATCTGTCAAGTCTTGATCTATAGACAGATATTAATTGAGAACAATTTATTTCTCCTCTTCCTGCGGTATGCCAATCCCACGAAGGATAAGCTTGAAGTTTTGGACTGCTACCTGGTGGAACGTTTCTTGGAATGTAACTCAAAGTAGCTGGAACGCCATCACGTAGGCGTGGAGTGCTGATGAAAATTCTTCGCCAAGAGACTTCGATGCCTGTGGGAACGACATTTTCTGGTCGATAGTTATCATGAAAGCCACGATCGTAAGGTAAAAGATAATCCATGAACGACCATTGCATCAAAGTCTCCAAAGCTTCAGCATCCACTTTATAAATGAATGATCCTGCCAAGAGAATTAATGGAAATAGGAACCTACAAAAAAAAAAAAGGATTTTCTGATTAGTTAAATTAAAATGATATCATAATTAATGTTATGAATAATACAACATGTAGTATTTATATTTGATAAAATAAATTTAAGGTTTATTTCTCCCTAATATACTCTCAAGGTTTATTGCAATTTTGTATAATTTAATATTAAGACAATTTTTACGCTTAATTGTAGATACATAACAGCTGTTAAGAATGGCTTATTAAAAAGTTGAACAAATTGCACAACGCAAAGGTACGAGTTTATTTTTTGTAAAGTCTACGTTCACTTGACATTCATTCACCCTACCAAGATTTCTTGGTCTAGTGGAAGGTGTACGTACAAATACAGATACTTTTCGTTACGTATATGACATTTAGACGGAATCAATTAAATCTACGATTACCAATATTTTCATTAGTCAAATGAGGAAACTTATGCTAAATTGAAATAAATTGAATACAATTATGTATTTATTGTCACGCAACTTTTCTCGTAATGTTTATTAAAAAATCGTCAAGTGATTTTTTCCGACATAGTAATTATACTTTTTCTCTCTTTGTCTTGATCAATTTTCCAAGGATATACTGATTTCTGAAATTGATCTATATATAATTTTCTTTCATTCGATATGCATAAATCTCATGTAGGTATTGTTTCTGAAATGATGTTTCCTGGAAATTTTGTAATACTAAACAATGAAATTTAACAATCTACTATTCACAGAAAGAGAATAGTTAAGTCATTTCAATTCAAGATAAGATTGTTACCTTTTTTTTACACAAAGTTTTATTGTTTCTAATCATTTCTGTTCTTAATTTGTTCATATTTTTCTTATTGTTTTAGAAAAAAAATTAATATTAATCAGATAATAATTAGAATAATCTAACAATTTAAATTTAAATATTTTAAATATTATATGCAAAAATCACATGTATTTCTTACTGTGATGATTATAATTTTATTAGAATAAATTATAATTCAATGAAGAAAAAAAAAAGAAAAAAAAACAGAATTACGCTACATTAAAACATTGTTCAAAATTATGAACGTTATGTAATAAAATACAGTGAAAATTATGATACATCGTATTTTCATCATCATTTCATTTAAATATTTGGATTCTATCATAAAAATATATCTATATATAGAATAAGTCATCAAAGTATTCGTAATTGGTTCTCATTATAAATTTTACATAATTGAACATTTGCTTGTAATGTAAAGTTTTTAAATTCTTATTTACAGAAATATATTTTAGAATTATTATTACTTTCACATTGATATTAATATTATTGCAAAAGAAAAATGTATTATTATTAGAAAAATAGAATTTTATTTAAATGATACCAAAATTCAATTATATAATAATAAAAATACAATTATAATTTTCGTAATTAATACTTGGTTGATTATCTTTTATATTTTATAATTCTTTTGAGATAATTTGACATATTTTGTGAAACCAATTTTCTTATCAATTATAATATGATATATATTATAATTATATATTTTTTTTTCCCCCAATAAAATATTATATCAATTTTAAAATTTAATAATTCTAAAAAGAAAAAAAAAGTAGATAAGAAGATAAGAAGAAGTTTATTTCAGGTATACCCTTTTAGGGTGTTTACCCCGAAGGCCCCCCCTACATGTTCGTTCCCCTTGACAATATACTTAATTCTAATTATGCCCTAATATAATAAGAAAAAAAAAGTAATATTTTTGTAGATAAGAATTTTGAAATATTACATTACAGAAAAATATAAATTATTTGAAATTGATAGTGAGGGTATAAATTACTCCTATGACTCCTTATATAAACGTGTTTTCGTTTACTTATAATTATTTGAAGTAATTGAAGTGTTTTATTGAAAAATAATGTCATTCAAATTGATTCTTACATTAGTGACAATTCAATGTAATTATAACATAACACACTTTTGTAATACATGTTGATAAAAATGTATCTAGTTAGTAAAATATTGCGTTATACAGTTTAGTATAGAAAGATACAACAAGATATCCTTTTTCTTTAGGTGAAACGTTTCAAATTATCAGACAATCACGCGAACAAAGACAGATTGACAAATGATTTTCATTGAACCTAATTGAATGCATCGAGAACTTTGATAGCCCTGATCAAGAACGATAACTTAGAAATGCACGTTAGAACTAGATATATGTATATAACGAGAAACCTTACTAGTCAAATGTCAAGGATAAGTGACATGAAAAACTTATTTGACCCGTGATTAATCAAATAATCAACGTCAATGTATTTTCTCAAAAATAATCTATTTATTTGTGTTTGCATAACTTTTGCAATTTATTCAATGATTCAAAAGTCTTCACACATATTCTGTCAAAAAAAAAAAACAAAAAAATAATAATACAAATATTTCATTAAACACTATTATAACATTTCAATTATTTAATATATAAAATTTGTAAAGAGTTTTACCTCATCTTTGTAAATATCGTGTTTCATCAAATTGTAATGACAGAAGAATATTATTTGTGACCGTAGCTAGGTGTAATTATTAACAAAAAAAAATGTTTACATTAGAACAATCGCGAAGGTTCTAACGATGGTTTGCGAACGTGCACCGGGTCCCACTGACTGAACACAGACTGATCTAATTTCCGAGTGGTATCGGCTTAAAACTTAACTTCCTACGAGAGACAGGACACAAGTCTCTAGTTCGAGAGAACATAGATCACGGAACAGGATTATTGTGTAACGTGAGTGTGTATGTACACATATGCATTGTATTGTATATGTTACTTATGAGGAAGCATAAATGCCTATATATGTATATATATATATTAATTTACATATATCGATTTTATTAAAGTTCGCCATACCAATATCAAATACACGTGCATGCATTCAACTATTTTGCTTTTACGTAATTATGGAATGTAAGTTTGTCATTTGAGAAGAAAGAAGAAAGAATTTTATTATATTATAAATAAATATTTATAATTTTATAAATTATAAATTATATTAATTTATAAATGAATATTTATAATATTAGATGTTATTATTAGATTTGGTATGTTTGATATTTGATATGTATTATATTTGATATATTTGATATTTGATATAAATTATATTTGATATATTTGATATTTGACATATATTATATAAAATGTAGAAAATTTATTACATTATAATTAAATATTTATAATATTACATGTTATTTTTATATTTGATATGTTTGATATTTGATATAAATTATATTTGATATTTGATATATTTGATAT